TATCATCATGACACATCGGACATTACATCTGGGAGATTACCGCATGTTGAGACCGCTGCTACATTTGCGCACACCAAACAGCACACGAGGACACCGGTACAAGCTTGCAGTACCGGATTTGAAGCAGGTCGCTCACCAACACTGTTTCGAACGCAGAGTGGTGAATGTATGGAACGATTTGCCGCAGCACGTAGTTGAGACAAAGCCGGTGTCGGAATTTAAGAAATTCCTGGACAAACACTCTGCCGACATAGAATATATCGAGCGCACCATAATATGACGGGTCTTTGTCCCTGAGTGATATAAGACGCAGCTACACAGAACATACCCTATTTGCTGCTTCCAACTAGCAATCAGTAACGGGAGTTAATCAATTATAATGGCAACAAACAAGGGCAGTCGCATTGATTGTGTTAATCACATGGGTATTAGCCTAACGCCAGTGGCGACAAAATTGCTGATCTAAATTCGCGTTAGTCGCTTCACAACGAAATAAAAATCACGGATAAGGGAAGAGCAAGCAGATCTTCGCCAAGGACCGGGCTGCATAGACCATATACTCACTCTGTGGCAGGTCCTAGAGCAGTGCCATACACATCGCAGATCGGTAGTAGCTGTGTTCCTCCATAACCAGAGTGCGTTCGATACAGTCGATCGACCCATTCTGTTCGAAATACCTACGCCACAGACCGTGTCAGAGTCTATATTGACTTGTCGGATATCTTTCAGACAACAAGCGGCGTCCATCATGGTCGTCCAATTCCCCCATTTTTGTTCAACGTCCATAATGGAGTGTTCTCCTGCGGAATGCCATGGTGCAGGCGTTGTAGTGCTGTACGGTGGAAAGGTAGTTGATCTTGATTAAGCGGACGATATTGTCGTGCTGTTTAACAACTTTGTGATGTCTAAAGCTGGCCTGAATCATCTCTTTAGTATGGTCTTATCATTTTGCATGCGCTTCGTACCTTCAAAGTGTGGTTGTTGCAAGACAACCAGTCAGTTGATGACCTCCTAACCATTGAGAGCGAGGAACTCGAGGTAGCTGTTCATTTTACTTACCTTGGAAGCTGCATCAGCAACGATGGGCGCAGAACCATTGAGGCAATTCCAGGGAATGCAAAAGATAGCCCTGCCTTCTTAAACCTGCGACGTGTGGAGTGTGAAGGGGCTCTATCAGTCTGAACAGTCGTGTTCACAAGGCCCAAGAGAGGGCCGTCCTAGGGTCTGAAGACCTGAATACATTTATGTTCACAATACACGTTAGCTACAGGTGGAAAACATCTCAGCTATTGTGCCGCAATACAAAAGACAAGAAAAAATGCGACAGAGGCACACCCGCTGAGTTACCAGTAACGGATGGGCATCATTGAGTAGAGCTAACAGCCGCCTACTGTGACGCAAAAAGAGTTATATTATGTCTAGTAGATTAGATCGGGGTTGGAGGAGAAGGCTAAACGAGAGGGTGAGGGACAAAGAATTTCACAACATAAATGCCATTGAGGTCGGCTTCTAGCCATGTCAAGGATTGTATCCAGCCAAGCGTGTTCACCTTCCTTTAGTCCCCAGTCAGGAAGCCGAGAGACTCCCACCGAGCCCAACTCCGAAGATATGAAACGCCTTCAAGTCTTTGATAATCGCAGCCTTCGGAGAATTACCAGTGTTAATTGACACCAGCGTGTCCGCAACGATGATGTGCGTATGCGAGTACTAGACTGTGGTAATCAGGCTTTCGAACAACATATAGCACTGAACAAGCTGCGTTGGCAGCTTACCGAGGAGGGCTCTGTTTTGTTTGCCAGATGTAGGGTGGCGTATAGCACAAAGTGGAAATAGTTAACTTGCTAGAGATAAATGAAGTCATCATCATCATTACACACGTTACCTCGAGATGGAAAACACTTAAGCTACAGTGACGCAATACATAAAAGAAAATAAACATGCGACAGGTGCATGCCAGCTGAGCTACCGGTAACGTTCCGGAAAGCTACCTGCCAGTTACCATGCAGCAAAAAGTTATTATGAAAAATTATATTATGCTAAGAAGCGAGATCGTGGTTGGAGGGGGAGACTAAAAGGGACAAGGTTGGAAAAGAAACTCATGGCAAGAACGCTACTGAGGTCGGTTCCAACAATGTCAGCAAGTGTATCCAGCGAGTGTTCATCTTCCTTTGGACCGCAATCAGGGAGCCGAGACGCTCCAACCGAGGCCAGCTCCGAAGTGAGGGCCTTCATTCCTCTCGACCAAGTCATCGCTTGGCTACCTCTCCTCTTCTTCCATCCACACTCCCGGTGAGCAAACAACGCATGTCGCGGGAGTCGGTGGGCTGGCATGCGTAACACGTGGCCGAGCCATCGGAGCCTGGTGCGTGATATGATGGTTCTGAGCGGTTCATTTCCTTTTCCTGCGCCGTAAACAAGGCGTCGAATACGCTCGATGCTCACGCGGTGTTCCCACCAGGTGTGAGCCAAACTGCGAAGGTACCGGTGGTCGAACGTAACGAACCTCTTTATGTCCGCTGATCTAAGGGGCCAGGTTCCACAATCGTAGTTAACTTGAACGTGCTGATGAATTGCACACTCTACTTTTCAAAGCGAGAGTGATGTCGCGCCATCCCCATAGGTGTCGAAGGTTAGCAAAAGTGTCCCGTGTTTTGCTATGCGGTTCGTGATTTCATCTTTAATGCCACGGGCGCTGATACAACTTACCAGGTAGTTGAATTTTTGAACGAC